CCTGCCGCAGGATGCTGGGGCTCAGGAAGTCCACAAGGTTGACCAGGGCTCTGGGCACCTACGGGCAAGGCTGCAGGTGAGAGAGGGGCCCCGGGGCCTTCCTCAAGCTGCCTTAGGTCCCTGAGAAGTGGCTCCCTACAGAACTCCAGCTCACGTGTCCCTGAGTGTGCTTTTGGGAGGGCGTGGACACAACATCACTGCTTAGGGTCCTGCCGGCTATGCCGCCCACTGCGGGCTGCGGGGTGCGCAGCACCTCCTGGCAGGGACAACATGGTGGACCAGCGTCTAAAGGCCGACAGCTCGGCTCCATTCGGCCATCAGCTAGTGAGCTTCCGATTGGCTGAGCCAGGTGCCCTATTTGCCATTTCCCTCCAGCCCAACATGGACCAGCTCTGCTGAGCAGGCATGGGGACTCGGCCACCCTGAGAAGCACTGGATAGTAGGAGGGCTCCCCCGGGGCAGCTGGAACCCCTTGTCTGTGTCCGGGGGTGGAAAGACAACAAGCTCTTGGGAGCAGGACCAGAGAGGGGTTGCTCTAGATACAGCCTATGGCTCAGTGGGCAGCATGAGGGGCACTCTGTTGTGGCCACGAGGGAAGGTCTCAGGTGCTGGGGGTACCAGGGGGCGGGCAGCAATGAGCACACCAGCTGCCTTGTCATCAAGCCTGAGATCCTTCTGTGATGATTCCAAATGGGAGAGGTTTCCCCAAACTCTGGAGAGGGGAGGCGCCCGTGCCCTTGGCTGTAACCTTCAGGGGAGGGGATGTCTTGCCTGCCTTCCCCCATCCTCCCTCCCCCCACCCACATGCTTGAGCTGTGTCCAACTTGTCCGAGCCTCCACCCACCTCTCTATGCAGGATGTCCAAGGCGTTGCGGAGATGGTCAAAAAAGTTGGCTGCAGAATACAGATTCTGGGAAGACACAGGAGGGAGAGGAGGAGCTGGTTCGGGAGAGGGGGCAGCGGGGCAGCTGAAGACCCCCCTCAGGTTCCGCCCCCAAGACTACTTCTTCCTCTGCCTTCTCCCTCTGACCAGCTCATCATGTCAGAATCTGAGCAGTTGGTTCCTCGTTACTATCAGAGATGGGCCAGCCAGAAGCCTGGAACCTTCAGCCAGAGCTTCTGTTTAGGAGTGAACGTGCGGGTCCTCCCTTCCCATTGCCGGGGTTCACAGTTTCTCTGCTTCCTGAGCTCTCAGGAATTGTAAGAGGGGACTAGAAGCCCCATTCCTGCCACCTGCTACCTCACAGCCGCTGGGACACGGAGGTGGGTGGAGGCAGAAACCTGAGGCTCATGGGATAAAAGGAGGATAATTGTCGCTGGACAATCCTAGGGTTGATTCAAGGGACTAGTCTCCAAGAGGACCTCCAAGGCCTCCCAGTCAATGTCAGGAACAATGAGTGGGCCTGCCTGCCCCCCGCCCCGACCCCCCATACCGAATCTGTGCAGTAGTCACATAAATCACTGCCTCCAATCAGCACGGTGATGACCTTCCAGTCCTTGTGGAAATTCACTCTCTACACGGGAGAAGGAAAATGCTCGGTGACTTCCAACAAAAAAACAAAAAAGCCACAGCCCTAGGAAATCCATTCAGCCCTCTAAGACTTCCTTGCCCACTCAAAATAATCAGAATCTCAGAGCTGAAAGAATTTTGGAAGCTTATTTATGGACCACAGAACCTTAGCATCAGGAGGGATGTTCAAGATCACTGTGATCAGGGGCAGCCCACCCCCCCACCCCCTCCCCCCCCCCCCCCCCCCTCCCCCCCCCCCACCGCCATGGACGTAATGTCCTCTAGGGCCTCAGACACGGGCTGTCCTACCATGGCTTAAATGCCTCTAGAGTGCCACAGCTCACTGTTTTCATGGCGGACCATTCCATTTGAGGACTTCAGTGGGTTAGAAAATTAGTGTTTAAAAATAACTGTAAATTCGACTCACATGGTCATCTCTCATCCTCTGGACCAGAGTCTGGACTTGGCTCATAAGTTCCCTGGGAAGGAGAGGAAAGCAGTCCTATGGGGGAACTAGTGCCTGGGTTTTTCCTTCTACAGAGCCTGAACTGGAGGTTTCCATGGCATTATCCTCATTGCCTGGCCTGCCAGAGACCTTTAGGTTCATGGACAAGGAGCCACTTGCCTGTTCTGGAAAGTTATTACAAAAATAACCCATTGAAAAGCCAATTATTGGTGCCAATTTTCTGTTTGTCCTAAGCCACACAGTCTAGGGTACTGTCAACTCTATTTGTTACTCATGGTCTCCTTTCTAGGACTCCACATTCAATGTGTCTTTTAGGGTTCCATGTTGGGAAACCATTTGTCTCCTTTGCAGGACTAGTCTAGGTGATGAAAATAGATCTATGAAGGTTTTAGCATTTTAGCATACTTCTTCTTTTTCCCCTGGCTGCCAGGAAGCTGAGAGTCTGATAGTCAGGCAGAAGAACTGCAGAAATGCTCCTCCTGACCCGGTTCCTTCTTCCCCATCCCCCTGCCACCAGTGGCTGTGACTTTTCTCACTTACGTCCATGTTCCTTGTGCTATTTTTTTCAGTAAAATTAGCCAGATGCTTCTTTTAGAAAGAGGTGGTGGAGTAAGTATACGCTGTATACATGCCTGGGTTTATAAATCATGGAAAGACTAGATCTTAAGCATCCCAGTTGATATGAACACATATTAAGCTCCCCTCTAGTTCTGGCCCCTGTTATGGGTCTGGGTGAGTCGGATCCATGGCACAGTGATTTCCTGGGACCTGCCACTGGGTCCATCTGTCCCCAGATGTTTTCATTGCCAAGAAGCGTCTTCCCAGGTTGGCAGGCAGTGCCCATCAGCTAGAAAGGCGTGGGCCAGAGCTGAAGTGGGGGGAGTGATAGTGTGTTGGGGGCCCAGATGGCCAGGCCAGAAGCAAGGAAACCGGGCTGCAGGGGCCACTAAGAGCAAGGCGAGGGGCCTCCCGAGACCACCCTGGGGGGCTGAGCAGTCCTGTTTCTCAACTGCATTTCCTACTCACTCCAGAGGGGGCTAGGGACAGGCCATGGCGCATTGCCCCAGGAGCCTCCAAGGCTGGAGATTCTGGCTTGCCCATTCATCTGTTGGCATTCCTCGATCTTTTCGGGGAACTGCCACTTGTGACTCTTGGGAGGAGCAAATCTCTCTAGCACCATTATGTCATGGTGAGAATCAGAACTTGGATGAGGTTAGTCGGTTAGTTGCATGATTAGAACATGCTGCCCAAGGAGCAAGGTCAGGAGTTCAGCCTCTAGGGCCATGGCTCCTGTCCCAGTGGCAGCCTCTCTGGCCTCCCTGCTGCAGCCCTAGTCACAGAGGCAGCCAGGGAAGAGAGTGGCTGAAGACCTCCCAGATCATTGCTATAAATGGAGAAATGTCCCCTTGGCACGTGGAGGTCAGGCTCACCATCTCAAAGGGGACCACATACCTCCCCCTCATCGCCACCCCCCCCCAACAGGCCCTCCTCCCCAAATGCCATACTCAGCCTTTGCTCCAGGAACAGCCTGATTAAGGAATGCATTTGTGTCATTGGCATTGCCCGTGCCCACTGCGTAGCCTGTGAGATTTCCGTTAAACTCCCGAAGGATGTCTGGAAGAGCAGGGGGTGAACAGGACACGCAGAATTTAAGAGAGAGGGGCAGGGTATCTTTTCTGCTCCAGGCTCCCCAGAGTGGGTTTTTTACCATCTTCATGCAGCTGGGGTGGTTGGGGGGTGGTGTGTGCCTGGCAGGGACTGGGGCTCTCTGAGCGGAAGTGACCTGATGACACGGTGGGCCAAGGCAGGAAGGACCTCTCAGCTTCCCTCCCCTCCCCTCCTCTCCATTCTTCCCTCCCTCCCTCCCTCCGTCCCTCTGTCCCTCTGTCTCTCCCTCCCATCCCTTCACAGTGCAGGGCATATTCACGATCTCATTGGATGGTTTCTGCACCCCCTGGGCCGTTGAAAGAACCTGAGGTTCAGAATGTTTGGAGACTCGCTCTAGGTCACTTGGCAAGTACAGAGAAGAGCCAGGACTTGAACCCGGGCCTCAGGGCTCCAAATAGAGTGTTTAGGACACCCCCTTCAGCTACCTGTCCCTGGGCCTCTGCCCCCACTCAATGGTAGTACGCAAAGACGACTTCCCCATCTCTTAGCTGGGACATTCTTAGGAAGCCAGGGCTCAGGGGGAACCGGGGACAGACTCGAGCCCCTGGCAGTTACTTACTCGGTAATGTAGTCACGGTCTCCAGAGAGTTGTCCCCTCCTGAACTGTAGGGAGTGAACACACCAGGGAGAAAAAGGGAATCAATACTTAGGCTTTTGTGAAAGAGCACCCCACCTTTCTTAGTGCCCAAACCATCGGTCCCTGTAAGATGTGCCAGACCCCTTGGTCTCTTTGTGTTGGAGAAACTCTTGAGAAAGTCTGCATTTCCCAAAGTGTTGGTTCCCCCCAACAAACAGGATTTGAAGGCAAAAAAGAGTTGTTTCTTTTTTTCCACCAAATCAGGAAAGAAAGCACTTGGCTGAGCATGTACTATGTGCCTGCACGCCCTAGATTCTCTACGTTAGATACCTGACACTTCCCAAAAAACAAGCTTCTGATACAGATGCAACTATTCCCATTTTACAGAAAAGGAAGTTGAGGTGCATAGAGGTTAATGAACTTTTGAAAGGTAACTAAAAACCAGCTTGAGCTGCAAGCTTTTGGAAAATGGATTAACTCTTCTCTGCCCAGTGGGGAGGCCAATTCCACTGGGAGTTTCACCAGAGGGTCTCTCACTGCCTTCCAATGCCTAATCTGATTTTATCTACTTGGATGTAGTTTCATGCTGTTCAATCTAACCTCAAGACCCATTCAAGATTACATTTCCTTTCATGCATTTAAATTGAATACATGTGGGAGGCCCGGAGAGAAGTACTTCTATTTGAACAAAGTCCAATGTTCAAATGTACTATATTTACTGTTTTGTTTTTTTTTTCTCCCTGCACTTCCTTCCTCAATGCCAGCATATTATTCCAGGCCAATGGATTTTGAGAACACCGTGTTTGCATCCAGCCCACCAGCACGGACTTCCAAAGGACAGGCCATGAATCAAAGTCATGGCTCTTCTTCATTCCAGGAATTGATTGGGATGAAGACAACTCTTTCAGATGAGGGCAGTTGAGTCTGGGGCTCGGCAGCCCCAGGTGATGGAGAGAAAGAAGCCAGGTGAGCTCTGCCATCACCTGACTCAGGTGCATCTCTCTCCCATCTCCCATCTGATGTCGAACCTCACTTGGACAGTGGTTGGACCTTTGTTCAAGCTTCTGATTCTACTCCAACTGTCCCTGAAGCTAACTGCTTCAGCTACTACCTGATCTTCCTTTCTTGCAACTAAAAGTGTTTACTCAGAACACTTTGTACTTGAAAGGGAATTAGAAATCCATATACCTCCTCCAGTCACTGTGTTCTCACTCTGCCTCCTTTTCTTCTTCACTAAACATATAAACATGAACATGGAGATAAACCTACACGCACACATCAAGTACTCCCTACTGTCATTTGTCTAAAAGTATCTTTGTTCTAAAACAAGTTCTGCAGCTGATCAAGACTAGCAGGCTTTAGAAATCTCTGAGTGAACACTTCTAGGAGAAAGAGAATTACACAAATCAAGATGGACAAACAAAAATATCTAAGCCCTCATTTCATTGAGAACCATGTGACACATGAAAGAAAAGAGACCCATACGAAACAGCTAGTTAGTGTGAGAGCCTTCTGATTAATGCAATTTATATTAAACCATGAGCTCAAAGGCTGGGTTTTGTTCATCTGTTGTCACCCACAGTGCACAGAGAATTACAGAGTAGACACTTAATGACATTTGTGGAAGGAGTTTCAGTGAGATGGAACACCAAATTAATTTTTTAAAAAAGCTTTTTTTTTTGTAAGCAAATTTTACTTTGGTCCTTTGATACCAAAGAAGCAAACTTATTCTAACCAAAAAAAAAAAAAAAAAAAAAAAAAAAAAAAAAAGCAGCAATGCTCCAGAGATCTCTGGCCCTGGCACACAGTTAAGCTAGACAAAGCCGGCACCTGTCCCTGACATATGGTTCTCTCAGGTCAAGGGCTTTGGAAATAGTCACCGTCAAGCCTCGTCCTGCAGGTCCTGCCCACAGCAACACACCTCCCAATAAACATCTTCCCCTGTCTGACTCTATGAGGCCCCTTCTCTCCACTTTGTCTCCTACAGGAAGAGGCTCAAATTACAGTCTTCATTTACTTGGAACCATGCATTGCCTATTGTTTCCAAACCAGAAGATTTATGGCTTCAGAAAATTGCTTTTCTTAGGTCAACCTACACATGGACATTGTCCAGGGGATGCTGACAGGTTTTGTGAACAAAGAAAAGATTCTGGGATTAAGAGAAACAGGATTAAACAGATACAATTTAAACACATTTCTTCATTGCAGGGCTTCTCAGAGCCTTTAATGATAACATACATAAATGTGAGTTCTCCATAAGGCAGTTATGGTGGGTAATGTTCCCTCACTAGTGTAAATAATTTTGCCCTCTTCAGGAACGTGTCAGGGGCTGGTGTTCCATGGAATACTTTTTGGGAAACACCAGTCTATTCTACCCAAGTGTCAACCCCATATCTCAGGCTCTGACCAAGTTCCCATCATTAACACATGTGGATGGACCTTGGGGCAGGTATTTGAAACATTTAGAACAAGGGATTTTAAGGTATAGCAGCCATGGACTGGGCAAGGCTTTCGACTAGGACCAGAAGATTCAAACATTAGGCCACACCTGGCCTCCTTCACAGGGAGAAACAGAGCAAGGGCAGAATGTTTTCATTGCTACAGAGAAACATTTGGCAGAAGATTGTCTATTTGTATCTGAATGCCAGGAATCTGTCTGGTTGGACCGTGAGCCTCCCCACATTACCCCACCACGTGCGGTTCCCCACACTATGACCTAAAGCCCCTGCCTTCTCGCGAGCCAAGACTGAGCGCATCTGCGCCCAGCTCAAGCCATTTTTGGATTGTACGTCATAGGCTCTGCTTGCTTTCTTCCCCTCTGGCTTTTCTTTTTCTTGCAGCCTCAATAACATTTGGGGCACAGTGGTTAGGAGACGAGACTCTGTTCTGTGCAGCCCACTGGCGGCCCTCTACCCAGCCGGGGGGTGGGGTGGGGAAAAGTAGGGGCCCAGGGGAGCTGGATGGCATTCACCAGAGCGGCTGGTGTCCTCCTGCTCCCCATGCCTAGGGTCCTTTCTCCCTTCCTCCCACCCAGACACACTTTCCCTTCTGGGGCTGTCCTCAGGGTTGGCCAGAGAACTGCCCTCGTCTCAGCTGTCCCCACCCTGTTCCCTCTCACTTTTCCAGAAGAAACTTTCCATCTGAATTCACTGGGCAGAAGAAGGGAGGAGGCAAGCATGTGAAGTGGCTGTAAAACGTCTTAGCACTCTGCCCTCTCCTGGCTGGCCTTGTTGTTTGGAATTCTGAGCTAATTGCCAATGACTGTGAAGTACACATAAACACGAACTTCACTGGAAAAGAAAAAAAACTGAAGAACACCCACCCACACCCAACCACTCACCTTACCCGCTCTGAACTTTTTCTACCTCTGGTCTGGAATGCCCTTTCTCATCTGATTGCTAATCTGTCAACTCCCACCTTCTCTGGGAGCTTTCTTTACCGACCTCTCTATCCCTGGGGCCCTCAGGCATCTCACTTTCAAGCAGCACATGCCCATGGAGCTCGAGCATTTGCGGGCACTTCCCGTCCACCCCCTCGCCCACCCGGCTCAGTGCCAGGTCTGGTGCAGGCACCCGGGAGGGCTCAAGTCTGGTGAGTCTGTCTTAGTCCTCTCCTTCTGAAATGGTGTGTTGCATTTCAGAGTTTTCTGGACAGACGTGGACATATATGTGAAGGCAGAGGTGTGAGCACAGAATGACATGAACAAATACATAGAGACAGCAAACAGACGGAGATCTCCACGTGTGCACAGACATGTAAACAGGCAGGTGAAGACTCAGAGGTTTGGAGCTTTTCAGGTGCATTTCATGTTGGATTTGCTGACCCAGGAGTCTGACAAGAACCCTGGTTTTCTTCTTCTGTACAATTAAAGAAAAAAAAAAGTTATCAACAATAAAATATCCTCTCTATTCACCCTATGGTCACATTTTGCAGAAATACATCAATTTTCATTCTGAAACCCCTTCCAGATCCAGTCCTGGCTCCTCAGTATTTACACATTTACAAGAGACAATCCCCTCACCCAATTTCTGGGGGTGAGCCTAGGGCGGGAGGGGGTGAAGGGTTAGCATTACCTATAAGACAGTCCCCGATACTGCGTGGTGACGTCAGAAAGGTCATTCGGTTTGGAGGCAATTCCATTGCCAGCCTTTTGAAAACACAACAAAGTCCATAGGAAAATGAATAAGTGAGAGGAAAGGGAGGCGGGCAGTTCCCAATGCATTTATCATGCGGCGTGAGCAGACCCTGGGCCAGGAGCCTGAGAACAGGCTTGCATTCTCCCATGCTCCTTTCCGGTCATTTGCCTTCCCTGCCTCTCAGCGGCTTCCTAACTGACCCGAGGACATGACTTGCTGAGCTCTGGTCCTGACAGGATTGCTCTGATGACGAAATCGGATCATGGTGGCAAAAACAGCTTTGCAAACTCCAAAGTACTTTGCATGTATGAGACATGGCCATATTACTACTGCAAGCCCTATGCTCCGAACTTCTCTTAGAAGCACAAAGGAGCCTATCTCTAGATTGGAGTGGACTGCAGTGGGCAGGCTTCTCATAAACGTCACATTTCTCCTCTTTCCCTCTGGGACATTCTGTAAGGCAATCTTGTGGCCTCAGAAGTGCTGCCAGAAAGTGGTCATCTGGGAGGGTTGGAGCCCTGTTTCTTGGAAATGCACAGCAGAGCTTAAGCCACGGTTGTGGAGTCTCCTGCTTTGCACGCAGGTGCACAGACAGAATATATGTGAGGGTCTGAGCTACTCCTCAAGTGTAATCCAGAGGGAAAGGAGCACCCACATAGGTGGGTTCAGAAGGTTATTTTGAGTTGAAATGACATCTTTTCTGCAGTTGTTAAAAAAAGCAATTGTGAGGTGTTCGCTCCTCAAAAAGAGGTCCCCTTGCACACCTGATTGAGAAAGTGACTGCAAAATCAAACCATTGCCACCCTCTGGGATGGACAGGGCCAGGCTAGGGGCAGAAGTCAGGGGCGCAGGCCCTGAGACCAACAGGTGCAGCTTCCCCCATCCCCTACCCCCCACCTGGGGCCCAAGCACCCTTACGGTCAGGGAGTCCCCCAGTGCAGCCACGACTTGGATGTCTGCCGGTCTCAGGACATGCACTGGAAAGACAAGCGGACACACTTGAGTGCAGGGGAAGGAACCTGTAGTCAGAGTCTAGGGCTTCTGACCTGAAGCGGGACGAGAGGCATGACCTGTATGTGTGTTTGGGCCATGGAGACAGAGGTTATATGAAGGATTTCCTCAGAAAAGACCCAACAAATCAATCCTGGGCCTGTGGGGAGAGCAGTGCAGAGGCGACGTGGGGGTGGTGGTGGCAGGGTGGATGGATGGTGGGGAGAGGAGAGTGGAATTTACACATGGTGGGGTGGGAGGCCAGCTGTGACCTTGAGGGCAGGGCCACCTGGGCGCTGGACCATGTGAGATGAGCTATAGGGTCTGAGGCCCAGCCTGTTTACAGCTGTGTTCTGAATTTCTGCCAAGAGTCTGAGAAAGACTCATGTCAGGCCTTGCCCTGTCCCAGATCGCTTTTGAAGCCTCCATGGAAATTTCTGGCCCTCTTGCAGGGAGCAGTGATCAGAGAGCCTGGGGCCCCAGGGCACGCTGCAGAGCTGACTCGCTCCTGGGACTTGCTGGGCAACAGCCCCCCCTCCCCAGGCCCCGGCCCAGCTCTTGGCCTCAGGGAGGTCACGCCACTAGGCTGGGCCATTAAGGGGGAGCTCCTGGAGATCCTCGACTAACAGGCTGAATTGAGGGCAGCAAACAGTTCTTGGCCTGGTCACCTTGGGTCCTGTGGGGTAAAGACATCTTTGCACAGCAGAGGGGGACAAAGCAGGGACCTGTTCCAGGCAACCACCCAGATAGGAAGCAAGCCCCAGCCCTAAAGCTGCCATTGAGTTACACATGCCAAGTCTTGTCAGAGCGCTCGTTGGCCTCTGAGTGCTTTGGGGGGGCCCTGGGTTCTGATGTGTCATAAGGGGCTTACCTGAGGTGGGTGTCGAGGAAGAAGGGGCTCTATCCCTGCAAGGCAGCTGGCTCCCATGACCCTAAAGGCATAGAACAAATCATAGAATCTCAGGGTTGAAAGGGACTGGAGAGGTTGGCTGGGCATCAAACTCACTTGGAGAGCTTCACCAAACACACCTGGATTCCTGGGTCCCACCCTGGGGAGGGACCTGGAAAGGCACTTTGAGAAGGCTCCCTAGGTGATCTTAGCCTGGGATCCGCTAACCTAGTTCAGATCGCCCACCATCCAGTGCAAGAATCGGACCATTGACACAACAATCCTATCCCACCCCAGCCATATCTGATTCTACAGCCTTACGAGGATAAAACTCTCATCACCTAGGTCTCTGAAGCGGTCCGACTGGCTGGTCCCACCTGGGCTGTTAACCAGTGTAGCTTATCCTGCCCACCGCCTGGTCTGAAGGGGTAGGTCAGTAGACCTTATAGAAGAGCATTAATCTTCCTTGGCTGCCCACCAGGACCCTTACCCACATTTGCCTCCCCCACCACCTTGTGGGGCCAGGCCCAGCTTGGGGACTGCCCACCCTGCTGGCTGGAGGGCCACAAGGAGGAAACAAGCTCATACCTGCACTCTGTTCTTGTAGGTGCTCAGAAACGGCCAGACCTGTGAGAAGAGGGCAGTGAGCAACTCTAGCAAATTTGCTGGCTTTCTGCATGACACTTTCAGCCTCCCGTGCCCATGTTTCCAAGCCCCTCCCCGCCAGGCTGACCACCGTGGGCTCCCTCCCAGGATGCACTGGGCCTTCTCTGCAACCTGAACTCTTAGGAACAGCTAGCATAAAGCCTGCAGTGGCTCCCAGGTAAGCAAGTCTGCTCTCTGCTCCCCTCTCAGCTGGCTGGGGTGGCTGCATCCCCTCTCCTTCCCGCCCCAAACCTCCCACCCCAGCCACTGCCTCGGTAAGTGCATGTTGCCTACTCCCCAGACCCCTTGCCACCCCGGGCCACTCCCACCCTGCCCAGGCAAGAAAATCAGGTGCTTTGAGGTCCTGCTCCATGTAAGCCCTGGCTCAGAGGTTCCCATTGGAGGACATCGTAGAGGGGAGGAATCAGCTGCAGAGGTCCAAGTATCCCTCTGGCCATTTGCGAGTGAACACGGTGGGCGGGGGGTTGCTGGGCCTGCTTTACCTTCCCAGGTAATGTCTAATTTTCTAGCTCCAGCTTCCATTTGACCAGCCCCCATCCCCAATTTGACCAGCCCCTCCCCCATCGCCCTAGCAGATACTCCAGGTCCCAGTTCCTTGATCTTTCTATCTAGCCACAGAGACAGTGGCTACATGGAGACAGGGTATCCTTTCTGCCCCATCCTGGTCTTGACGTTCTCCACTGCCCCTAGTCTCCAAAATGAGAGCTGGAAGGTGCTATCATGTTCCCCTTCCTGGGTGTGTGCAGCCCAGACTCATGCTGGGGCTCCCTGCGACATGGAGAGACAAAGGGACACTAGGCACCCCTGGCCACAGGGGGCTGTCGTCCCCTTACGGTCCAGCCAGATGGGGCTTTGTGGACGGTCACCTGGAGTCTGGGGTGGGAGTGGGAACTGGGGATGAAACGAGCTAAGAAACCTGAGAGATGCTATAATCCTGGAAAAGATGCCTCAGATAAACAGACCCGTTTATAAGGACACGGTTCGCGTGCTACCTGGTTCGGACAGGTGATATTGATCTTGTATTCAAAGTTGTGCTCTGTTGTCTTCTGGCCAACAGGTTCCAGCTAAAGCAAGAAGTGGAAAGAGGTGGCAAGAAGGGAGAGGTCAGGCTGCAGGTCAGGGCTGGGGAAGGAAGGGACGGACACAGGCAATGGGGTCTGTCATCGCTATGGGGCAGGGGATCATACAGCCTGAGCGATGGGCCTCTGAACTCCTTCAAAAGCTCGCCAGAGTCTTTCTCCTACAGGGAGAGAATAGGTTTCCCTACCTCGGTCCTCTTACCATGTTGTTCCAGAGGGCGCTGGCCGCGTGCGCGTGAGCTTTGCTGCTGAAGTGGAAACAGTCAGGAGCAAAGAAAGAGCTGTCCGGCAAACCGTCCTGGTCACAGGGCGTAAAGGAGGGTCCGTATTGGAGGACGTCCGGGACACAAATGACACTCAGAACCGACCGGGCTCTGTGGGGCTCCCCTACATCCACCAGGCTCGTTTTCCTTACCGGCGTCTTTGGCATGTCTACTTTCTCGAAGAATGGCTGCACGACCACCGTAAAATCCTCTCTTGTGTCATACCGACCGCTCTCAACCAGCCGGTGAGTCCCCTCCTACAGGAGGCAAAGGGGGCAGGGGTCAGGGGGGCCTCCCCGCCTCCGCTCGGGCTGTGTGCCACCTCTTTCTCTGCCAAAGAATTGAACAGAGTCCGCCCCTGGAGTGAAATCAATCTGTAACAAAATCTCAACTGATCAGGAACCAGCTAGGTACTTTTTTAGATCAGACTTCCGCCTCAACCCCAACCTCCACTCACAGTGGCGTGTATCTGACCTAGGCTGTGGGGGAAAAAAAGGAAAGGCAAGGAAAAACCCAAGACCATCAGCTTGATCTCCTCTGGAAGCTTCTTGATTAAAGATTGGGACAGGGGGTGGGGGAGGGCATGAATTCAATGTAATGACTTTTTTGGGATAATCATTACATTTAATTTATTTCTGTCCTACATGTGTTCAGAAACTCAAAGGTGAATCAGTAATGATATTTAATGCCCATTTATATCATCTGTGCATGGTGTGTGTTTGGAGGGGCAGGCATGCTCCCGTGCATACACCCTTCTTTGAGACCCTCAGGTCTGTCCAGGAAAGTAACAGAGCTGTTACTCTCAGAGCTCCCCCTTGGGCTTGGTTCCAGGAGGACAAGTTAGCCCAGTTCAGGCTCCAGGTTCTGCCAGCCTCTGCCATTTTCACTG